TTGCTCAGGCTTATTACTAATAAACTCTTACAACTGAAATTAACCCAAATAGTTCTTATCTATGTTTAGCCACGTGACTTGGTACCTTTTCTCAGTATGGCATTCTCATCTTGTGTCCTCTGTGGCTGCCTGGCAACTGTTTCTCTGCCTTTCCTCTTCTAGTCTGCTAATCCTGCCTGGCTATGAGCCAGTCAGCATTTTATTAAACCAATATGAGTGGCAAATCTTTACAGTGAAGAAGAATATTATCCCACATCACCCTTTCCTGGATATCTTAGAAAACTGGGATCTAGAACCATCTATACAGGACTATGTCAAGTCTTGCTATGATTGACCAGAGTGGCAGAGACAGCTGCCTCTGGACTCTACTGTGGGAGCCTTGCTCCTGAGCTGGTTTGGATTCATTTCTGTCAGGGACTCCTTGAATGGTGTAGTCATACTTCAGCAGTAGGCTTCTGTGCATAGAGGAATGGGAGTTTGAATTCTAGAGTAGATGGATCTAAACCACCATTTCAGAATCACAGGGTAAGTTTTATTTCCCTGGTGGAGTTTAGCCAGACGCTGGCTTTTGGTTACCACCCTGGATGCATGAGTAAATTTTTATTCAGTGACTCAGTTTGATATCAAGAGACTTGCTTCAAGCTACTACCCTACAGTGGCACAATTTAATCTCTTATTTATATTCCAGTTAAAAACAGCATACTTTTCTTACTTCCTCCTGGTTCCCCACTAAAGAGATCATGGAATAGTTTTAAATAAAAAGGCAAACATACTCAAGTATCAGAACAGAGAAGAGGAAGAGACAGCAACATAAACTGGACAGCAGAAAGCAGGTGGGAAAGGATTGGTGGCTTTGAGGAATGAAATCGGGTGACATTGGGGGAGGCCTATGAAACTGGAAGCTGGGCCAGATAGAGCTGCAGGTCCTGGACATTAAGAACTAAGCCTTTTCACCAGGGTAAGTGTTGTCCTTATTTAACCATTGAGAAAGCTGACAGGAGAAGTAACAGGTCCATGCTCACACACTTCTGTGTAAGCAATGAAAGAGTAAAAACACCCTTGGAACTAATAATGAATTATAGAAAGAAGAACTGGGTGGGGTGAACATTTCTTCTCTAAGAGAGATCTGAAGCACTTGTGGCCAGTTGAGGTGCCTGCTCAGTTTTTCTTTTTTTGTTTGCTTGTTTTTTCTACTTGTAGGTTTACAGAAAAACTAAGTGGTAGATACAGAGATTTGCTTATATGCTTTACACCTACATGTGTAGCCCCCACACATAGGCGCCTCACGTAAAAAGTCCCCATGCATAACTAGCACCTCCCACCTAACTCTGCACATGCATAGCTCCCCATATGTGGTCTCCACACATGTGTAGCCACCCACAAGCATAGCCTTCAACATGCAAGGCCTTCTCCTGTGTATAGACTTCCCATATGCATGTCTTCCCATATGTATGTCTTGCTCACATCCATAGCATGCCCACATGTATAGCACCCCAGCTTCAGTACTCCAGTTTTAGGAAAGTTCCCTCCCAGAGTGGCACATTTGTTATGGTCTGTGTACCTCACTGACACATTTCTGACTGGACACACATTTGTTACAGTCTGTACACTTACACTGACACTTTATCACCACTTAAAACCCTAAGTTTCCATTTGGGTCCACTGTGTACAATCTGTGTATTTGTGTAAATGTTTAATAACATGTATCCACCATTATACAGAGTAGTTTTACTGTCCATAAAAAGTGCTTGTGTTCTGGTGAGCCATCCTCTGTCTGACCTAACCCCTGGAAACCACTGACCTTTTGCTTTCTCCATGGTTTTGTTTTGTTGATGAGTAGGAAGCTCTTTCACCAAGTTACAGACATTTGAGGTCACTCCTTGTCTTTCCATAGTTCAGCAACTCACTTGTTTTTATTTTTGTGTATGTGTAGTGTGTGTGTGTGTGTGTGTGTGTGTGTGTGTGTGTGTGTGTTTGCACTCACGCACGCACGCATATTTGGAGCTCAGTGTGTACACTGGATCTCTTCCTCTAGTACGCTTCACTTTATTGTTTTGGGAGGGTCTCTCACTAAACCCAGGCTCACGAGTTGGCCAGACTAGCTGGCCAGTAGGTTCCAGGAATCCTCCTGTCTCTTCCTCTCCCCAGGCTTACAGATATGACCCACCATGCCGTTTTCATTTGGATATTAGCAATCTGAATTCAGATCCTTAGATTTGTGCAGCAGGGGATTTCCGGATTGAGCCATCTCCCTAGGCTCAGATAAAACAGCTTTCTTAACAATGTTTGTGCTGGTAATCTCAGTGTTATTTCCTCTGTAATTTCCATCATCTCTGTGTAAATTAGAGTTCAGCTGCTGATGGTTTTTCTCTGTGGCAGAAAATCTGATACATGGCAGGAAGCATCTGCTGAATTAAATGTTGTCCTTCACAATTTCCATGTGCTCCCCTATGCACGGTATTTGCGAAGACTTGAAAGCTGAATGTGGAAGTTATCTTCTTATCTTCGAAAGCATATCTTAGTTTTCACACTCACACAGCTGAGGCTCAGGAACATTGTAGAAGAGGGGCCAGAAAGATTGTAAGAGCCAGAGGATCAGGGAGTTTGCTGTGAGGTTGCGTCTCCTAGCAACATTACAAACTATACCTATAGGGTCTCACCAACATGGCTGCCGAAACATGAGCAGAACAAGGATGGTGTCAATGAACATGCCAGACTGGGCAAGGAAAACCCCACATGGCTTCAACTGTACACAAAGAACTATGGGCAGCTGAGGGAAGCTGGGGTGGGAGACATGATATTCCCCAAAGAAAAGCATAGCAATTGTTTATTCAGTGCTACACAGCCCTAAAAGAACTGAATACAGATAACTGTTCTGATAACATTGTATGGACTCAACAGGTTATACTTAAGATGGGAGGGTTTGTGAGGACAGGGAGAAATGTGGCTAAATTAAATTATGTAAAAAATAGTTATGAAGACACTGAGACTCAATGGGTTGAATAATGACTCTAGGTTGATTACATAGCACTTACTGAAAGTTAGAAGGACACAGCTCCCTACTTTCTGTACGTATTTACTACATAGGATGTAGTAAAAATTATATGAGTGCCAATACTAATACTCTAGATATAGGATTCTTGAGAGTAGATTCAGTATCTCCCATGATCACAGAGAAAACATTTTTTTAAACCTTTATTTAAAGTGATTAAATAGAATTTAATTTTATAAACTTGGATATTTATTGGCTAGCTAGATAATATCTACTAAAGCTAACAAATTCTAAAATACCATGTAGAATGAGAGATTGCCTGAATTTCACGTTTGTAACATGGTTTTTTTTGCAGTGTGTGAACTTAAATCTCCCTCTATGAGTGATTTCCTGTGGGGGCTAGAGAACTCAGGCTGGCTAAGGCACATCAAAGCCATCATGGATGCAGGGATCTTCATTGCAAAGGTTTGTGAAGGCACAGAGGAATAAAGTTAAGTAAGGGGTAGACATGAAGCTAGTATGACCTCAAAACATGGCCTGTCCTCTTTATTGGTTGTCTGTACCCACTGCATGGGTAGCGGGCTTGGCAGGCTTCCATGTGCTGAAAGTGATTTTGTGAATGAGTGCAGTGGCCAGTTAACTTGTGTTATCATGGTGGTCAAATGATAGAACATTTGCAGATATTCTCTCTTCTGTTAGATTTAATCCTGGATAAGGGAAAGAATTTTCTGTAGGAGACTGTACAACTCATGGGAGTCACCTCAGTGATGGGATTGGCTTATATCCAATAGATCCTGCTTTTCAATCATGACTTAAGCAAAAGCTAACAGGTGAATTCTATCCTACCATTGGAAGGATCTGCTAGAACCTATATATAAAATATTTTTATGTAAACCATTTAATGATTCTCTTATGATACTGGGTATTTTCTGTAAATAAACTCCTCTTAGATTTCTACCTAAAGAGAACCATGCCTTTCTGATGGCATGGGTGCCCTTTATTCAGATCCTTATTTAGTGCCTGGCACTGTGCTTGGTATGCAGTAGTGAGTAAGCAGGATCAAATCAAATCTCTTACAGAAGTCACACATACACACACATACAAATAACAGTATAATTTCAGTTACTGGCAAATGTGACACAATCACCATTTTCCAGTTCCTGTTTTCTGCCAAGAGAGCTAAAGATGTGTACATATATACAGAAGCAGATAGGATCTATTACTTGGCCCATATTTTATCTATAACTCCACAATTTGATAAATTAGATTTTTTCATGCCTTTCCTCTTCAGAAAAGGCCTATAGCAAGGCTTAACTTGGGTTGCAGGTAAGTTAGGAACATGACATTAAAGTGTGTTGCACAGTGCACATGCTTGTACACGGTACACTTGTTAATTTGTGGAGATTGGAATGTTGGCCTTTGTAATAAGAAGGGAAAGAAAAGCTTTGGTTGCTGGCTCTAAGAAGGTTGGGCCTAAGTGCTAATTCCTAGTTCTGTTAGTCTATAGCCAAACCTAATAGTCAATGTGACCCTCTGCCATTTCAGGCGGTATCAGAGGAAGGGGCAAGTGTGCTTGTCCACTGTTCTGATGGCTGGGACAGGACTGCCCAGGTGTGCTCCGTGGCAAGCCTGCTGCTGGACCCTTACTATCGGACTGTAAAGGGCTTCATGGTGAGTCTGGTGACAATCGTCCTGAGAGAGGAAGAGTCTGGACCAGCAGTACACTTCATTTTTAGAATCTTGTGACTTTTTCCCCCTTCTAATAAGCATTATTCTTTTCTTAGTAGATCAGCAAGGTCAATTAAAGGGGAGAAACTGAAGCAGGCTTGAAATACAATAATTTTGAGGATGTTTCGACTAGTTTAGGTCAATGCTGAATTCAAACTCAGGAGCAATATAAAATATATTTACAACTGTGGAAACTAATGATTTTTATACATAATTTGCTTATAGATATCTCAAGTTTGGGCAGTGTATGACGGTGTAACAGAAAACATAAGGAAAAATATTTGGGAAAAAATTGCATTGTATTTTTCCATATACAAACAGCGTTTGGGAGAAAAAAAAAAAGCAGCCTTCATTCCTAAGTCTATTTTTTCAATGGTTCTTGATAGCACTGGTGGACATATTGAATTTCACTGTGTTCTCCATTTTTGCTGGAATCAGGAACGCATCTTTGAGAACTGGAACCTTTTGGGTGTGCATCACAATTTGGCTTTGACTCCAGCTGCAGTTGCCTGGGATGTGAGGTTATGGTTGAGCTGATAGAATTCCTTCAAATAACTGTAGGGTCTTTCCCGGTGATTGGTTGACCTAGTACCTGCCTCTTGAAACACAATTTGATAGAGCTCCTTGGTGGCTCTTGAGGCTGCTCAGGATAGAGGCTGACAGGGGCTCTACAAAATCGTCTGTATCACTGGACCTTTGTTAGTAAGTTACACTAGCTGTAACCATGGGGACAAGGTAGAAGAGGCAGGCTACTTGTATGTTGAGAATATACGACTTCAGACATTTGAGATACACTTCTGCCTCAGTGTTTTCCTGAGCAAGCTAGATTCCTTTGTTTAGCTGGAGAGTGTAGGGTTTCCAAGGTACAAATTGTAGAACTGTTTACCTATTAAGCCATTAAATGCATTTAGAGTTGTCAAGGGCAGACTTCAGCCCGTTCATGTATTTCTACAGATTATTCCATATTATTTTGTTTACGCAGTTTTTTAAAAAGGTGTGTGTGTGTGTGTGTGTGTGTGTGTGTGTGTGTGTGTGTGTGTGTGTGTGTGTGTACCCCCTGAGGCTAGAAGCACAAATGATTATAAGTTATTTCAAGTGAGGATTGGGCTTGAACTCAGATCTTCTGCAAGAGCTGTATACCCACTCCAGCCCACGATTAAACATTTTTTTGTTTTTTACTTTTTTAAAAAAATCTATACTATTTGAGACAGTAAACTCATGGTAGCCCTAATTTCAAAGTAGTGCTGAAATTTCAAACATAGTCCTTAACCATGACTTAAGAATCCTTTAATTAAGGACACAAGAAAGCATCCCTTTTGTTGTTGCCAGGGAATTTTACATTGTAGGGAAAGGACATTACATGTTGGTTAACTGAAGAGGTTAGAAATAGAGACCTAAGCCCATGATCTCTGGAGAATATTTCATGTCTTTACTTTACCTTCCTTTTCTCTAAAATGATGGGTAATAATAGTTGTCAGACAAACACAATGACATATAAAGCCATAAGCACAGTACCCAGCATATATAGGACTCTGGGTAGTTACAGCAGTCTCACACATATATTTTAGTTTAACTTTCATGTAGAAGGCCTTCAACTATCTTCCTTTTCAGTACATTATGGATAATGTGGTTCTTTAAGATTGTTTGTTTAATATAAGAGGTTTGTCTGCAGGTATGTATGTGTGTACCTGGAGGTACCGACAGTTGTGAGTAGCCATATGGGTGCTGGGGCCTGAGACTGGGTTCTCTGAAGAGTATCAAGTGCTCTTAAACTAATTAGCCCTCTCTCCTGTCTGACAGCATATTCTGTCAGTTGGGGGTTTCTTCTGCTCCCAGTAACTGAGTCCTTTATTATTAGTGTGGGTCTCTTACATTTCCCTCAGAAGCTTCTAGGATATTTATATTCTTTTTTTGTGTAGGTATTAATTGAAAAGGACTGGATTGCCTTTGGACATAAATTTAATCATAGGTAAGCAATAGATTATTGCTTTCTTTTATTGAAAATAGATTCTTTCAATATGTAGTATATCCTGATAACAGTTCTCTTTCCTCTACTTCTCCCAGTTCCTCCTCACACCCCCTTTCATCTGGTTCCACTGCTTCTGTATCTTAGGAAACAAATAGCCATCTAAGGGATAATCATAAAATGTGAAACTAAACAAAATCACATCGGAATAGGACAAAATAAATGAAAGGAAAAGGATGTAAGAAGGAGGTACAGGAAACAGAGACACAGAGACCCACTTGTTTGCTTCCCCCCCCCCCAAAAAAAACCTCACAAAACCAGAAGCCATAATATATATACAAAGGACTTTTAGGATAAAATAAAAAAATTAAAGATAAAATTTTTAAGCAAGAAAATAAATGAAAAGGCCCTGACATGACATTGAGAGATAAGGGACCTCCAAAGAGCAATTGAGCCTGTTCTTTGTTGACAGTCTACTGTTGGGCATCAGGCTACCCTTAAGAGTAGTTTGTTTCCCCAATGAGACTCCTTGGATGAAACGAAATTTTCCTTTGAAAAGTGGCTATCAATTGAACATAGCATCTGGGTTAGGGACGGGGGCATGTGTGTGCTTTTCCTTTTAGCTCTAAGGCCACACCTGGTGCAGGCTGCCATTTATGTATGCCCCATGTTGATTTAGAGGGCCTTGTTTCCTTGGTGTCCTCCCTCCCCTATGGCTCTTACACTCTTTCTACTTCCCCCTTTGCAGGGAGACATTCCATTTAGGGCTGAGCGTTCTGCATATTGTCTGGCTGTGGGTCTTCACATTTGTTGCTATCTCTGCTGCAAGCGAGCTTCTCTGATGATGGCTGAACAGATCTGAGTGTAGCAGAATGTCATCAGGCACCATTTTATTGATAAGCTATTTCAGTAGAGTAGTAGTATTTGGTTTTACTCTAGGTCCCTGGGCTCTCTAGTCTCAGGTTCTTTGGTCACCCAAGCAGTGTTGGGTATGGGTTCCATCTCATGGAGTGGGCCTTAAATTAAATCAGATATTGGTTGGTTACTGCTGTAAGTTTTGTGCCACCATGGCACTAACATCTCAAAAGGTAGGACACCATTGTAGATCAAAGAGTTTGTAGCTGGGTTGGTTTTTATGCTTCTCCTTTGGTAGCATACAGAGTACCTTCCTGTACTAAATTCGCTAGGATGTAGGGGTTAAAGTTCTATAGGCACCAATCTATTTTGTAAGGGATTAAAATGGCCCCATCTGCTTGCTCCTTAGGTCCGTTTGCTTGGGATATATTTTTCCCATCCTTTTACCCAGAAGTGATGTCTATTCAAGATAAACAGCTTGGTGTTAAGCTATTTTTTGGATGGATCCTGTTTTTCCATTCATTGTGTTAGTCTATATTTTTTCTATTGGGGAATTGAGACCACTGATGTTGAGAGATGTCAATGAGCAGTGTTTGTTGCTTCTGCTTATTTCGGTGTGATGTATTGATTTGCTGTCTGGCATTACTTATTGTATTTTCTTGGGTATGGTTTTCTTCTTTATATGGAAGTTTTCTCTCTAGTGCCTCTTCTGTATGACTGAGTTTATAGGCGGGTACTCCTTAAGTTTGATTAGTATCTTAGAATGTCTTTTTCTTTTTCCGCCTGATTGGAAATTTTGCTGGATATAGTTGGGCTGGCATCTATGGTCTCTTAGGGTTTGTAGAACGTCTGTTCAGGCCTTTCTGGCTTTAAAATCTCCATTGAGAAGTCAGGTGTTTTTCTAATAGATCTGCCTTTGTATGTCTTTTTCCCTTGTAGCTTTAAATATTCTTTGTTCTATATATTTAGTGTTCCATGTGTCACGAGGAATGTACTTTTTTGGTCCATGCTATTTTATGTTCTGTATGCTCCTAATACATTGTTAGGCACCTTCTTTTGTAGATTAGGGAATTTTCTTCTGATTTTGTTGAAAATATTTTCTGTATCTTTGAGAAGGGTTTCTTCCTCTGTTCCTGTTATTCATATATTTGGCCTTTTCATAGTATTCCAGATTTTGTGTGAGGATTTTATCTACATTTAACATTTCCTTTGACCAAGGTATCCATTTCTTTTATCTTGTCTTAAATGCCTAAGTTTTTACATCTCTTGTTTTCTCTTGGTGAGGCCTCTGAGGTTGCTAAGTTCCTAAAATTTTCATTTCCAGATTTCCCTTAGTTTGGATATTTATTTATTTATTTATTTATTTATTTATTTATTTATTTATTTATTTATTTTAATGTGTTGCTGGAGAGAGCACAATTTGGGTTTTCTTTATTGATTCTATTTCCACTTCAGGACTTCAGCTGTTTTGTTCATTTCCTTCCACTGTTTGTATTTTCACAGATTTCTCTTAGGGATTTATTCACTTCTTTAAAGACCTCTATTATATTCACAAAGGTATTTTAAAGTATTTTTTCTTGTGCTTCAGTTATGTTGGAATGCTCAGTGCCTACTGTGGTAGAGTTGTTGGGCTCTAGAGGAGACACATTGTCCTAGCTATTAAGTGTGCTTTTATGCTGGTGTCTAGGCATCTGGATTCAGAATGATTGTAATTCTAGGTGCTCATCTCTGTGTTTGTTGAGTGGGTGTTTTGTTCCTTGGTTTCTGCTGTCTTCTCTGGATGGCTTTGGGTTTCTCTGGATGGCTTTGGGTTTCTTGGTAGTCTGTGTGTGGCAGAGAAGAATCGAAATGCCTAGGGGGAAAGGCTGAAAGGTGCTTCAGGATCCTGTTCACACCCAGAAGTGGGCTCCAGAGAGGTGTAGTTGTAGCCAGAAGTGCAGATTTTATAAGATTTGCTTAGGTATTAAGGTTGCTTTAAGATTATCTTTGCATTTGTAGATTTCTAATTAAAAAAAAAAAAAACACCTCTTCTGTTATAAAGTCTGGAATACTTTGTTTTACAGATATGGGAATTTAGATGGTGACCCGAAAGAAATCTCTCCAGTAATCGACCAGTTCATTGAGTGTGTCTGGCAGTTAATGGAGCAGTTCCCTTGCGCCTTTGAATTCAACGAGAGGTTTTTGATTCACATACAGCATCATGTTTACTCCTGTCAGTTCGGAAACTTCCTGTGTAACAGCCAGAAGGAGAGAAGAGAACTCAAGTAAGTTTTGGTGTTCAATTTTTAATGATTTTGGTGACTGGGGGCTTCATATAGACTTTCCTAATTTTGAAAACTACTTAATTGAATTACAGAACTACTCTACACTCTTTTCTCATTCCTGACATCATTTCATAAATGGTTTAAATGTTGTCAGCTGACAGAAATATGTACAATCACTTTCCCTGTGAGTATGCCTGAATCAGCCAGATCAGAAGACTTGACAATAATATTTAAAGGAAACTTCTGGAATCAAAGAAATTTATGTATGCCTTAAAAAAATGTTAGACATATTTGATAGACATAATTAAAATGTCAAATTAACTGGAAAAGCATATTTGAAACTTAGATTTATGGTTTTGTTCATTGCACATACCAGGTAATGAACTTTGTCATAAAGATCTTTTCATTCCAGTAGCTCCTATATGGTGCCTTTGTACTCTTTCCCTAAGGAAAGGCTTCTTCCTTTTTTTTTTTTTTTTTTTTTTTTTTTTTTTGGGATGGTGTGTCACAGTATAGTCCAGTCTGCCCTGGCAGTCAGGATCTTTGCACCTGAGTGCCACCACTTGAGAACAACTCTGATTCAGGTTAGATTAAAGCTGTGTTGCATTAGTCAAGGCTAGCAATATCTAAAATGTAGAATTTTAAATACCATTGAAAACCTAGAACTTTTAGAGGTACTAATAGCATTAAGTAATTTTAACTCATTGTGTATGACATCCAGTTTAATTATGGAAGGTCAGACCAATAAAGTAGGCTTGTACCTACCATCTGCAGTGGAATAAAAAGTTACTTTTTTTGCAATGGATGCTGATGTGTTGTCTTCATGGAATTTAAAGCATGATTTCTGATGAAAGGAGACTATTTTAAAGCAGAGTTCAGGCTTGTTGGTAGAGTGGTTCCTATTCAAACATGGGGACCTAAGCTCAGAACTCACATTTGAAAACAAAACCAAACAAAAATCACTGGGTGTAGTGTATGCTTTGTTTGTTTGTTTATTTGTTTGTTTTCTGAGACAGGATTTCTCTATGTAGCATTAGACTAGGCTGGCCTCGAACTCAGAGATCCACCTATCTCCGCCTCCCGGGTGCCGGTATTAAAGGCATGTGTTACCACCGCCTGCCCTGGTGGTATGCTTTTAAAAGATTATTTTTTCTTTTAGGTATATGTTTTGCCTGCGTGTAAGAATGTGTACTGCATGCATGTCTGGTACATGCAGATGTCAGGAGAGAACCCTAGATCCCCTGGGACTGAAGTTAGCCACCATGTGGGTGTTAAGAACTGCTGAGCCCTTCCAGCCTCCTGGTGTGCTTATAATCCCAGTGCTAGGGAAGTAGAGACTGAGAGAACCGTACTCAAAAAAAAAGTGGGAGATGGTGGGCTCAGTGGTTTATGTTTGCTCACAAACATGAGGACTGGAGTTGGGTCCCCAGAATCAATGCTAATACAATTCCAGCCTCTGAAGGTCTACAAAGGAACTCTAGAGCAGCTGCCTAGTGAGACTGAGCTGGGGGTTGAATGACAGGCCTGCCTCAATGAGTAAGGCAGAACAGCATTAGATGTCAAAACAATGATTTTGACATCTGCCTCCACACTTGCATGCATACACACACCCTCCTCCCTCCCCCCAGAGAGTGAGAATGGAAACGGGGAAAGGGTCACAGTTGCTGAAGACTCCTGAGAGTGAACGCTGGCCTACCTGCAACCTCAGGATACATAAGTCAATGTGCACATAGCAGAGCATATCCTTTTGTCTCGCTTGTTTTTCTGGATAGGTTGTGGTTTGCTGTACTGGAAATGCTAATCCTAGTGGTATCTGCTTGGCTGTTAACACTTACTTTTCTACTAACTAGGTATGGGATTTGGGGAAACTTTATTTGTCTCTTCATCCAGAAAATGAGATGTATGTGTCAAAATGAGACATAATATAGAATGAAAGAAAAACAAAGCATTTAGCATAGTGCTTGGAAACTTTTAAGTATCTGATAACTGTTTGAGGATAAAAACTGCAAGAAACTATATAACCAATGTTTCTTTAAATACTCAATAAGCAAACATTTTGTCAAGATTAGTACAGACAGTAGTGGAGAGAAGACTTTCCTAACAACATTTTGTACCATGTCAAGAAGCTACTGGTAGATGGTAATGTCACCATTTTATAGTAAGAACACCACCCCAAATAACGATTACTAGTTCTTTCCAGCCTGAATATAGAATATTTGTTATTTAGAAGAACCAAGATGAGTCATTTCTTGCCTTTTTTTTTCTTCTTCTTTTTTTTTAACAACAGGATTCAAGAAAGAACCTATTCTTTGTGGTCACACCTGTGGAAGAATCGGGCTGACTACCTCAATCCTCTGTTTAGAGCTGACCACAGTCAGACCCAGGGGAGCCTTCACCTGCCTACAGCTCCATGCAACTTCACATATAAGTAAGTCAGTCTTTAGGGACTTGCCAGATGTGCTTTGCAACTGGCATGACTTAACATTCAGAGGCCAGAATGTGAAACTCAAGTGTCAAGGCTTTGTTGGACATAAAACCTACCAAAGAGTAACTGGCTCTCTCATGGTGCTATTTCTGGTAGTGCTTTTCTCTCTTTCCACTGCTTTACATGGGAAAGTCCCTTTAGAAATTGATGCTTTATAGTAAGGCCTTTAAAAATAGAAGTTCCTGAAGTGCAGGAAAGGAAGGAAAATCACGTCCTGTAGAAGTAGAATTGGAAGCACAAGTTTGGGAATTTTTGCCTGTGGAAACCATTGATGGTATTGGGGTGGGGAGAAGGGAGAGCAGGAGGTTCTAGTTAAGATATGCTAAATGTGTGCTGCATGCTCTCCTTTGGATTCACTTCAGTCTCTCTTCATGGCAAAATGATTCAAACCAAGCCAGAAAACAGCAAACAAACAGTTTCACATACTGGATTCTATTCCTAAAGATGGTTTCAGTCCTAGTTACCACAGTATTATTTCTGGCAATATAGCAGAATATTAATTCCATATCAAAAATGTCTGCATGGTTTGTGCAAAATAGCAGTTTCTAAAATGAATCAAGACACACTACAGTTATCTGTAGTGCAACTGATTAATGGTTCATAACTAATAATTAAAAATATGTTACTGAGGCTTAGGCACTGTATATGCTGCAGATAAATGAGAGTCCTTGTCCTCAAGGCACTTTCTTATAGGCCTAAGGATAGCCCACAGGACATTTGTTGCTTTTGAATTATAGACTGCTTTACTATCTAGATGTATTGAAAATGCAAATGTCAGTTTCTGATGGTTGTAATAAAGTGAGAGATATTCTAAGTTTAAAAGAAAGCTTTTCTTTGCAGCAGAAATTCTAAACATAAAATCACAAATTCTCAAAGTTCCAATGATAAAAATGCTGCTTCAGTCTATTTATAGAAAAGGCATGTTTTAATTCAATTATATGAACTTACTCTAAGAAAAGTCAACTACCCTAGAAAAAAATACCAGCCTGAAATTATTACCTTTAGTAGTTGCTTTTTGAAGCCTATTACTTGCTGTTGGTTATTAATATTGTTGGGCTGTGATACTGAAGACTTGAGATTGTTGAGTTTTCAGCCTGGGATATGTGCTCTCCTTCCTTCTTCCCAGGTTTTGGAGCGGGATGTATAACCGCTTTGAAAAGGGGATGCAGCCTCGACAGTCTGTTACAGATTACCTCATGGCCGTGAAGGAGGAGTCCCAGCAGCTGGAAGAAGAACTGGAGGCCCTAGAAGGAGTGAGTCTTACTATTGCTTCTATTTTCTTCTGTGCCTATTTGTTGAACATTACCTTGAGGAAGACCCTCAAAGTCTTCAACATAAAATGCAGCACCAGCCATTTCTTTTTAGTCAGTGGATAAGATAAAATAGCCTCATTTGGGTGAACACCCAGATGAGCCCAAACCAAAACCTTTCCAGTCATCTATGTTAGGTTTGGCCCACTTGTTGTTAAAATACTTTACTGGTCAGTACATTTTATTTTTCCCATTACTGTTATTTGAGAGTACTTAAGTTTTCTTTAAAAAGATAGGGGGGGCATGAAAATGTGAAAAACAAAATTACTGTTCAACTTTGAAGAATTTTATATTGATACTTAAATAGCTGAGCTTAACTATATGTAGTATGATTGTGCCTGTATAATTTCCACTATTGGGCAGACATTGTGTGTGTGTGTGTGTGTGTGTGTGTGTGTGTGTGTGTTTCCTACTTGCTTGCATATTGTCATCTTCAGTGAATACTATTTATTCTTTCTCACTCATCCTAAAACTCAACCATTCATCTGCTCAAGAATTGGCAATAAATTCCTATTGTTTGGAACCTGTATTTTCAAATGAGAACCAGTATTTGAAATCTAATGAGATGGGGCTGGAGGTGGCTGGGTGGCTAAGAGTACTGCTCCTCTCAGAGGATCTGGGTTTGGTTCTCAACACTCAGTGGTAGTTCACAACCATAGGTAACCAGAGTTCAGGGGATCTGATGCCTCTAATCTCCACAGGCATTGGATGGGTGTGATGCTCATACATACTTTCAGGCACAGACACATACAAAATGATTTTAGAAACTTTAACATACAATTTAGACTTTTCAAAAGTCTTATGTAGTGTATAAAATAAACATTAGGATGAAGGCTGACTACAGTGATGCTACTGGTAAAGAACATAAACTCCTCTTAGATTGGTAATGGCCTACATAAATTTGACAAATTCAAACTGAATTTGTGTGACCAGTGGAAACTCATCTTCAGTTCCCAACTATGAATTATGGCCTAGGCAAATGGAGCATTACAGCGCAAGGATGCCAATAAATAGAGTTGTTTTTGAGGTGGATGACACTCGTTTCCTTCATAATACACTAGAAGAAATCACTTTTCAGGACTTAAGGTTATGGTTGTAATTGTATTCCCTTGTTGGTACTTTTGAGATAAGCCTAAATAGTTAATTCTAGTATGATGGTAATGAAGAGCT